TCTAAAAATAGAATTATTGTCCCATATCATGGGGACAACCCTAATACTAGAAATGGCGCGCGCTTACGGTCTCCGTCCCCGATTATGGCTCCTGCTTTCACCGCATTGTGACGTACTTACTGCCAGTTGAAGGGTGTATACAGCGGGCAATGCCGTAATACTTGTAATAAACAGATGCCAATAGTAAGTCAATTTACCGTTAATTTTTAATTTGTACTGCCATACCTGACGCGCCTTCGTAATGTTCTCAGTCATATGATATATGAGTAATCACATGAAGGCTCGAGCAATGAAAGATTCACACTACTCGCAATATTGAAAAATATTTCAAATTGCATACACCTGAAGGCTCGTAAAGTTTCGAGAGAATTTTCAAATATCACTAGTACCAAAAATCCTTAATTAATTGCTCTCGCATTTATGCGATTACCTGTACTTATCTGCTCAACTTCTCTAGATTACAGCATCTTAACTTTAAGTAGCAATTCCCATACAAACTCTTATGATAAATACTCAACACTCGGTCAACAGCAGTGTTACAAAAGTTCCTCATATGAGTAAGTCTTACATTACTGCCTCTAATGAGTGGTTTTTTTAATGTTCTGAAAGGACGTCAGCAAGAATCCTCCCCTCCCCCACCTTACCCCTGTAGACGGACCGGGACGAGGCTCAAGGCAAGTTAACACAACACTCCTGGGCCAGACTGCTCGAATGCCGGTTAACGCTAACCCAGGATTAAAAGTTAACCGAAGTTCTAGTTTTTCTTGCACAAAAATTTTTTTGACCGCTTATGTTTCGTGTAGTTTGAGATTACTCAAGCTCAAAACTGGGGGAAAAACAATATAAACAGAAAACCTCACCGAAAAGTTGCTAAGCTGAAATCAAAATTCTGCGTAATCCGGGCTTAGCTTAATCGGGCTTTGAACAATCCGGCTCTGAGGTTTATTGTACACGAGCAAGGATAACAGTAAACAACGTAGCTTCAACGACCTTCGACAACATGTGCTTTAGAAAAACAAAAAAGATTAGCTTGAGAGAAAAAGATTTCCATTAGTACAATATTTCACCATGAAAATCGCCAGATTTACCTGATCCTGATTGTGTGCAGATAGCGAGAAAAAGAACTAACGTCATAAAGGCGACGCAGATCATGTCTACACGGCCTGCTAGCCATCTGACTGTGGACAGAATCGAGACCCAGCACTGATTGTGACCGTATTGAAACCTTAAGATAGATTAAAAAGAATACACAAAATAATTGAACAAATTAAAAGCCGAGCTCCCTACTGTTCTACCGATAGTTACGCGTAGAATCATAGACGTTCATAACGGGAATTTAGAGAAAAAGTGGAAGTTTAATTGCAAATGTAATTTTGTTTTATCAGTATTGGAAATATACAGGTGCCTTAGTTGCACGTCTTAGAAAGCGACCACTTTATGTTAACACTTCGTTCCATTCTTTTTTTTTTTTTTTCATTTCATCAATATATAACCCAATAGATAAACTCACATTAATGAGAGAAGTTATTTTATTAACATGACTTTAGAACCCAAACCTGTACAATTCTTCCAGAAACTCATTTTCCTTCTTATACGTGCGAATAGTTACCAGTCTCTCCAACCTGTCACTGAAGTGAGAGAGCACTGGGCTTCGATTTAATCCTTCCAGTCGCCTCAGATCACGTGACGTCCTTAAGTAATACCCTCCAAACCACATAAACAGAACCATGAGTGGGGCGGCCGGCAGAATAATCCAGGGGTTCAGGATAGATGGCAGAACGACCGCCCCAATACAAAGCAGAACAATCTCAACAGCTTGCAGGAATACATCTGGCAGCAACTCGTCCACGATGCCAATATCTCGTGAAAACCTGTTTATTATTCGTCCAACTGGATTTGCGTCGAAGAACAAAACCGGGGCTTTCAACAACGCCGACATCATGGAATTGTGCAGGTTTTTAGAGGAGTTTGATAAAGCGTTATAAAACATTGTTGCTCTAGTGACAGAGAGCAAAAACGCCCCACCCACCAGGGCAGCGTATATGTAGAGATTGTCTGTTTGAGTCTTCTGGTCATGTAATCCACTAGTCAAATGAAGTAGCCACCACTCTGTGAATACGCTAATCCTTTTTTAAAGAAACAAGGGAATAGAAAAGTAAAAAGAAGGTGAAAATAAAACTTGAAGGCTTGTTAACCTTACTTATTCACAATACGTCTTGCATTCGCGGCCTGGCAGTCCATCAGGCCGACGGACTCTTGCCCCATGTTTCTGTAGCATAAAATGACTAGGAGTAATTGTATTACTCTTTTCTACTCCCAAATACCCCACCGCTGTTAGCATATGCCACTCAAGAATAGTAAAGAGGTTTACCTTGAACGACGAGGAAAAACACCAGAAGAGCCACAGCTGCAGCAGAATGCATTCCAGCACGATGTAATCCAGGTACAACATCCAGGACACAGAACCAATAACACGATCTTCTTCGACATTTTCTAGTTTAGCGTATTCTGTGTCGAAGGGTATTACAGACTCTTCATGTCCTGATGTTGATCTTCCTGTTGGCGTGGTTCTTCCATTAGTCTTATATTTGTCCAAGGCAGAGTTCAAAACCAGACTTAACGAGTGTGTTAAAACCAGCTTGCTGTAAAATGGATCCGTCCTTCATTGCTACTATGTTATCAGCTTCCCTGAGGATTTCTAAATTGTGAGTGGTCATCAGCCGAGTTTTATCACACAGTAACTCGATGACACAGGTTTTGAAAATGTGATATCCGACTTTTGTATCCAGGGCGCTTAAGGGATCATCTAAGAGATAAATGTCTGCATCAGAATACAGAGCGCATGCTAGTCCGACACGAGTACGCTGACCACCACTTAAAACTATTCCACGTTCTCCAACCAGTGTGGTGTCTGCATCCGGGAACCTTTGAATGTTTGTATCCGGGTCACAGGTTCGTAATATCATGTGATACCTCTGAGGATCAAACGGCTCACCAAACAAAATATTTTCACGTATCGTACCAGAAAACACCCAGGGTTGCTGGCCAACCCAAGAAATTTTGCCACGGGATGATATGTGTCCCTTTAAGAGTGGAATCTCCTGCAAGATAGCTTGCAGCAAAGATGACTTGCCGCAACCGACGCAACCTGTTATAAACACTAAGTCGCCCTTACAGACAGATAAACACAGGTTTTTCAGTGTTAGCTTATTCCAGTCTCCATACCAGCTGCATACAACATTCTGCGACAAAATACTTGGATTTCCCTCGACTTGGGCACCGTTAGTGTTTATTTTGCTGAAAAGTGTAACATTTCCGTCCTTGTGCTTGTTCTCTTCAAGATCCACGCATCCATTTGTGGCGAAGCTATCGTGTAGGTATTTGTGGACGTCGCAATGCTCGAACTCAAGTATGTACTGAATACAGGTCAGAGCTGAGGCAAAGTCGGCAAGCATGTTAGCAGAAAAGAACATTTTCCATGAAGCCGAATTCTTTAGGACAATTGTCAAGGATAAAATCATGAAGGTGTTATACGAAGTGAGTTCAATTCCCGAGGATGTCATTGAGACCAATGCCATAAAGGCCGCGATTGACGAAGAGATGTAAAGAAGAGATTGAAAGGAGGCCAATATCGTTGTTTTCCATCGAGCCAGTTTCAATTCCAGCCTGAAAGAAAACAATCATACCCAATACCGTGAGGAAGAGTTTAATCAATTATTTCAAAATTCTGGTAGAAATTCAGCATTCAGGTTATAATCCCTTAGAATATCCTTTATAATGTAAGTTTTAAGAATTCACAAAGTTTGACCACTAAACCTTGAATGCTGCTTTTGTAAGAAATTAAAGATCAGCGCCAGTACCACCGCCTCCAATTTAAATAGGGGTTTAATAGTGAAAAACTGTAGGTTTCGGACAAAGTGTTTTTTATACTGGCTACTCGCCCTTCTCCTCTATATAGGCGACAGTTAACTCAATCGCTACAACCCAAGTTAGCCTTGATATCGCTCAACTGATGAAAAGTCGGGCTCGAATTCTCATTTAGTGTATCAAATCTAATCGATTCTGTCTAGATATACTTATTCTAAGATTGTTTGTTTCCTCAGATAGAAGATATAAAGCGTTTTCAGCCCATCTGGCTCATGGCTCACGGCTCCGGACATCAAATTCCTGGATTGTGCTAAACGTAATTAACAGTATTAGTCTCTCCGGTAGAATGCTACTCCGTGGCAGGTGACTCCCCAGCATTCCGTCAAGTTGCCCCAACAATTCTTCAATACCCATTTATACACCCAGGTGGGGAGAGTCAGTTTGAGGAGAAAAAAACGACACAATGACCCAATCAGGGCTCAGTCAGGGGCACTTGATTCAGAGCCTACGTACTAACCGTTGGGCTCCCTTGGCTTAGAGGGAGTTAGGCTCCCTTGGCTTGAACGTGAGTTCAAAGGAAAAAGAAACAGGATTTATTATGGCAGGTTTCGTACCTTCGTAGTCGTTTCACTCTTTCAATGAACGGCCACTCCCACGCGTACATCTTGACGGTACGAATCTCTGGGATGATGGAGTTCATAATGTCAACACGTTCATCAGCCACCTTAGAGATTGGATATCGTGGAATGGCGCACACTTTAGCCATTCCACCGTAATACAACGAAAGGAGAATCATAAAAGCTACTCCTAATAGAGGCCTCCATCCAAACAAGTACACCATAAGAAATGCAACGCTGCTTGTTTCAAGCAGGGCTTGAATTAACATAAAAATACAAACAAAAGAATGCTCGAAACGCTGTACATCACTGGCGATAAGGTTGAGTATGTATCCACTTGTAATCTTTGATACATCCGCTTGGTTTAGACAAATAACCTACCACATGAAAGAATTGATAAAACGTTCAACGTACAATTTTTAAATAAACATTTCCTTAACAACTTTCGGGAAGAAAATTGGTCCAGCATGAGGTCTGTTAATTAAGGCCCTGTCACACTGCGCCGTAGAAATTTGAAAACGCTCTTCAAACCGGAGGAACTTGAAAACGCCGTCTTCGCGTGTTAGCCGGTGTGGACGAAAAACATTTTGGAAACGAAGCTTTTCGATCAAAAACGATGAAGATAACCATGTCCGAGTTTTACTCAAACACAAAAGCAAAATGACCAGTAATTGTTGCGTTGTTAAATTCCTCTGGCGTTGTGCGGAGGGAAAGCATTTGACGCGTTTTCAGAGTGAAAGCTCCTCCAGCGTAATCTGGACGGGGCCGAAAATGGTTAATGGTAGCTAAGAAAAAAGGAGGATGGCTGGGTCTCTTAGAAAATGTAAAAACTTATTGTAAAATACTAACCAATGTTTGGAGGACACTTGGTGCGTCCCTCATCGCTGTCTAGTCTAGATCTAAGAATCCTCTAATCTCGTACGGAGATTTTCTCTTTGGGGAGAACATCTAGTAAAATCGGTAACTGTCTCCAGACTGTCACATTCCTAACACAAGATATAGTGATTCGACAGGATTTCACTTTATATTCCGGCTCCCAAGGAGTGGGAAGATGTCGTTACGAGAAAGGTAAAATTAATGAAATGAAAAAAACAAAACAAAAAACAACAACAACAAGTAAATTTGAAGGTTCTGATCATTACCCTATGTAGTGTCTTACGGAAAACTAAGATAAACGTCTAATAATTCCAATTCGTCTTCTTACGATTATTCACCGTGGATAGCCATTTATTCGCCGTTGTAAGAGAATATAAAATATGAAGGGTAAGTGAGGAACAAGGGTCTGGATGGGGTTAACTGACAACTGACAAATGACAAAAAGAAAATAACTGACAGGGGCGTAGCCAGGATTTTTCAAGGGGGGGGGGGG